TATATATATATTCATTCACTTTACAGCAATACCGGAAGCTGATACATTCTTATGAAAATATTTTCAACATATTCATCATTCACTATTGGGCCTCTATTGAAGCCTTCGTTGTCATTTATGATAGCTGTTGTTAGGCATTTTGGCACCAAATTAACGTACTTTCTCTAGCAGAGAAACGTACTACCTAGCACAGCTAAATGAGCGTCGAAAAAAAAGAACATTGAACATGTTAAAAAGTGAAGGTTTTTGAACTTGGGGTCATTTCAAAGACAATAAAAATCATAAGCGACTGATACTACTACAAATCACATACAAGTTGTCAAAAAAAAGAAAAATACCGGTACAGAAGAAGATATAATTTTTTTAAAATAAAAGATTTTCAGTAGACTAAAGTTCTCATACATTGCCTTTCTGGTTTCACTTACCTAATATGCATCGTATACATCGACTGGATGAACTCATGACAGTGAATAAACTTTTTTTTTCGTATTCATCGACTGTTTTTCTTTATCTCTCTCAGTATTCATTCGTTCAACAATGTGAATGCGTCAAATAAGAACTGTTTTTGTGCTTCCTTTTCAAGACAACCATTACTGATACTTGCAGTATGTATCAAAGTGGTTAAAAAGAAATAAAATATTTAAAATTTTGAGCAGTTTTGTAGAAAAAAAGGTAGCTCCTTTTGTGCCACCGCTATCAAATCGGTGTCATTGGCCTTTTACTACCACTAGATCATCGACGTCATCTGAAAGAGTCTGACTAGCAGTAACCTAGAATAGTCAAATTTACACTTCTGTTTAGTGTCCATCAATTTTGATGATCTTTTGAAGCCAAAATTAAGTCATCAGTTTGAAACAGCAACACTAAACTAAAACCATAAGTCACAGTAAAAAATTAGTAACATATTCAAATGTTAATTAAACCGTGTTATTTTCGTCACTTAGTGGCCTCAATGTAATGCATAGAAGAATCTTAGACGAAGCGATTTTTTGAAGCAAATTTATTGGGGACTTTTTACAAGATGACACCACTCGCTTCATCTCAATTCATTTTTTCTCTAGGATTCATTTGCAGCAGGATAACATAAAGGTAGCGTCTGTAGGCTTTTTCAGTGTGGAAGGTGAAATGTAGATTGTTCACCTCAATGTCGGTCTGTCCTTTGATGCGGACTTTTAGGTCAGCAAAAGTCGTCACCGATTAAAGAAACCAATTTTCCTTCACACATCGTTGGATGGACGCCACCCTGATGTGCAAAGCCGTGATTGTACTGTTTGAATGCATTTGATCGTTGGCGTTATTTTTGGTTCTTGATACTCGCAGTTCAGATTTTTGAAATAATTCTTTATCTTCGCTGTCTGCGACCGATGTGAATTTTCATTTGTTTACTGCCTGCTTAAATTTTATGTTCCTTTACAAGCGTAGTAATCACAGATTTTTTATGTTTGATCTTTCGTGGAACCTGCGTAAGTACAATGGAACTAAATTTAATTTTTTATCATCAAAAAACCGATAATTTTTTTCTACTTTTTCTACATTTTTCTACTGTTTTTAGTCGACCTGTCCGCATTGTTTTGTGACCGTTGACTTTAAGGGTCCACTTGACAGGTGAGGATTTGGACAATCGTCAACTGTAAAAATTACAGCACTCAAAATATGATTCATTTTAAAAGAATGAGAAATAAGGAAAAGGCCAGACTGATGACTAGAAATTGGTTCAAAATTTTAACTTTGAAATATCTATATCTGATAGCTAACAGGTTGCAGATTTATTTAGATTTCTTCTTTTCTCTGCAAGATTTATCAAGTAATCAGAATTTCTTTAGCAAAAAGGGTAGTTTTATGTGCCAGTGGTAGAAACTTTGATAAATTATTCTAAAAAACGCTTTACTTTGGGAAGCTTTTTTTGCCAGCTGTAGGAATACCACTCACGACATTGAATTCTTAATTTTGTTACTTTTTTAAAGGGATCTTTCGCGGAGCTTTTTTCATTTTAGGTGGAAGAATCACACTTTGGTTTAATTATTGCAAATGATCAGTAAATTTTCTTCGGTTATATTTTTTCTCTGAGGGGCAATAGTTTCTTTAAAATTGAAAGATTGACTTTTTTTATTCACTAAATGGTGTCACTAATAAAGTAAATCTTTTTCATCCTGTTAATAGTATGTTCAGTCCTACTTATCATTTCATCAAAAAAAAAAAAAAAAACACAGTCCCTCGGCTAAGATATCGAGAATTCGAGATGGAAGCAAATAACATCGACAAGATTTTGTTAATAAAGACGAATTGCCAACTATGTTACTTTAACTCTTCAATCACTTCAGCATATGAAGAAAAATAGGATTTTGACTAAAACAAAGTTACGAACGATGAGATTTTAGTTTTTCTCCATAAAAGGCTAATAGCGTTTGCATTTCTGTATCCTTGATACTTCAGGATTCAGAATGTCTCTCTTATTGAAACTTTAGAATATTATACTTAATGAGTTGAATCCTTATTGCTAAAACTTGTGATGGAGAGTAATCGGTATTTACTTTTAAAAATGAAATGAATTTTTCAAATTTGATGTCAAGGAGAAAAAGCTCTTTGACTTATAATTCAAAATCACTTTTTTAGCTTTTCTAAATAGTAATAAGACAAAATTTTTGAAATTTTTTATTTATTTTTTTGTATGCCACTCTTTTTTACTTATTCCAACAAAAATAAAATTTTTTTGAATATTTTAGGAATTTCCTCTCCAAAAACAATTAACGTAAATAAGAATACTTTGAGGTTTAAGTAGTTGCAGGTTAATTTGCCGGAGAGGTGAAAGTGAGGTCAAATTGTATTTCGCAACTGCGATTCTAAACTAAAAAATCTACTTTGTAGTTTGCCGAGTTTCCTTTTAAAAATTTTTCTGTATTGCTTTAGTAATGTATGTTTGAAACTTATTAGTTCGGCTAAAACGTTTTTTGCTTTTTAACTATAAAAGAATGAAAAATAAGCTACAGTAGATGGTAGGAACGTAAAAATTGTTCAGTGGTGTAGGTCAGTTTAACTTCTCCACTTTTGGCTACCTGGCAAAACTTTACTTATTCGCAATATGTTTGCTATTCCTTATTCTTTTTCTACTCTCTTATTCACCATTATTTTGTGTTTATTTCAAGGTCATAGTTTCATACCTTGATGGTTTATTTTTGTTCTGCTTTATTTAAACTTGATTTATGAAGTTCAAAATGTATTTACTCATTGCCACAGAGTTTAGCGTAAATAGTCACCACCATTGATTCTCATAGAACTTTTTCTTTCAGCTTTATTTCTCCAATATGACTGGCATTTTGAAGAAGTTCTTCAAGGGAAGACATACTGTGAAAGATTCATTTCTGGTTAGTTTTAATGTCGATTTTCGCACCTACACGTATAATTTTCTTTTTCAAATCACCCTGCTGCTGATTTCAAAGAGAAGAAGGACATTTTCTGAGGCATTCTGCTGAAAAATTTATAAGTTTTTTTTTCAAGGAGAGAGAAGCGGATGACAGAAGAGCAAGGAGAAGTAACAGTAGGGCTGCTCGGTTTGACCAACAGAGTGAACCAAGCCCAGCTGCCGCTTACCATACGGAGACTCAACCTCGGTCGCACAGAGGGGCCCAATCTTTTGCAGGTGCGAACTTGTCTGATGAAGGCGACAGATACGAATATTTCAATAGATCACTTGAATTAAACAGAGTTCGAGAAGAGGTATATATGGTTATACAGTATGAAAATTAAGGGAAAATATTTTAGATAAATTGGTAATAAATAAAGGAAACTTTTTTGGTACTCTATCATTAGCACCTATCCTTACTGGCATGGAGCTGACCGCGAAAATCCCACTTTTAATTTTAGTTATAAAATAATCTGTTGTAGATCTACCGTTCGTCTTTACTTCTTGCAGGAGTTATCACGTAGGCGAAGGTCTTTTAAAAGTTGTCATAGGAAACGAGGTATCTCGGAATATCAAAACGAGAATCATCGACCGACTAGTTCTTTGCATGAGCCAACACTGGACGATACAGAGTCTGATTCTTGGGCAATAGAAAGAGAAAAAAGAAATTATGTAAGAGTTTGGTTAGCGTGCATTAGATGATCAGCTAAATTTCTGTTTCTAGTAAAATTGATAACAACTATGTTATTAACGAACTTTTATTTGGTTTAAGTATGTAGTAATTTAGGAATTGGAAAGAAAATTACAAGAAGAGCGTGTGATCATCAAAGAGTATCGGGAACGTTTTAAGATGGAACGAGACTTACGTGTCACGAAAGAAATGGAGTTAAGAGAATACCGTGAACGTTATAAAATGGAACGAGAGCTTTGTGCTGACAAAGACAGAGAGCTTCTGGCAGTGAAAGACGAATTGAGAAGAGTAAAGAAGCAGAAGAAGAAGCTTGTGAATATTGTAAACATTATGCAGGCAAAGTTAAACGTTTGTTTTTTACCGTACATTCTGTTAAATTTTATATCGTGGTTCATCTTTTTTTTAATATTTTCTAGCATTGACGGTACGAAAGATTAGCGTGGAAGGAACTAGAAGAAGAGAGATTTACTCACAGAGTGGATATCTTCATAATTTTCAGACTTCTTATCCTATTGTTACAGTTTTCTGAGCAAAGTGGGGCATACGAAGCCATGTTTCCGGCACCAAAGTCAGATGATGTAGCTGGAGCTGGAGAATCCCTTTGCGCGGATAAAGCAACAAACGTTCCAGGATCTTCTACATTTAGCACATCTACTCTGCATAATACTTCTGACTTTGCTGATGAGACTAAAAATTTTCGCAGGGTTACTTCTTTCGATACTGAAGTCCCCAGGGACTTTGATCCTACTGGTTGGTACTTTTTTAAAACTGGATTTCTAAAGAAAATAAAGCTCACCTTTTGTAGAATCATCATAGAGAATGTTGCGGGGAATAATTGCTTTATTTAGGTTTTACAACAGATCCTGAGGAACAAGAACGGATTACTCTTCGAAATGATAATTTTCATGACTTTTCGATGAATTCTGGTGCTGAAGATAGTCGTCGGGTTCACAGCGATTCCAATCTTCAGAAATTTATCTGGTCATTTAGCATTTAAATCTATTTTTGGAAATGTGCTTGGAACGTCAAACTCAATTGTATTTTTCCACCGTTATCCTCAATTTTTTT